AATCGGATAAGCGGTGAATTAGTTATGAGTTTTTGAAGTTTCGCCTCAGACAAACTTATTTTGGGCTCCAGTGTCAACTCTGACACGTTCTTCAATAAAAAACTGGTATTGATCGGAGCAGAAACCGATATCGACTTTGGAAGAAAAGTTGTAGATCTATGAGTCAGTGACCTTGTGTAAAAGATGGGCCCGATCCGATAAAAATTGTTTGAGTTATGAATTTTCGAAGTTTCGACCCAGATGAAATAATATTCAGCATTCAGGATTTTCGGTGCGTCACGCGCACTCTGGGCAAAAAATGAAGGCCTTGTGGATACCGTTCGAACTTGATACCTCCTGTGAAATTGTATCCAACTCAATTTTTGAAATTTTGGCGCCGGAACCAGCTCGATATGATGAAAATAGCCCAAGTTATGATTTTCTGAACATGACATAAATAAACTTCTGTCACAAATTTTCCGTATAAAAATATTTGATAAATCCACATTTTTGAAGATCTTCTGATCGAAATTGGCTTCCATCCGTGACATATGAAAACATAGATGACGTCAAGAAGAAATTTTGGCCACCGGAACGGGTTCAAAAAGAGCCACGATATTCAAGTTATAAATTTTTTAGTGTGTAAAAACTGCACTTCTAGCACACCTTTTCACCACATTTCTTTGAGAAAAATCGCAAATTCGGTGACCTTCTTTAAAGAATTTGCTCTCGAGCCGAACCTGAATTTGAGAATATGTTATCAGGGATATCTTGACGAATGAACACATGAATATGATGCACCGGGTTGGACTTGTGAATCTTTAAACCCCGGATCATTGCGAAACGGCGAATCGATCTTCAGCACGGAAAATACTCTGAGAACATCCATTGGCGAAATAAACGTCACTTGTAACCAGATGAAGCTTGCTAAATATACCTTGATTACATAACCATAAAACCAATGATATGCATGTATGTAATAATGAAATGTAAGCCAAAAAATTCGAAATAAAGAGGGAAAATTTTGGGGTACAACATAAATGTTATAAAAATATCAAATTGTACGATTGATTCCAAGTTTATACTTACAATGCTGGAAAGGTGGAGACCCGATACACACACATTTCATCTACCAATTGGTGAATGTACCGTCACACTAGAGGACGTGTACATGTTATTGGGTCTCCCTATCGATAGTAAGGCGGTTAATGGGTTGGTTCAACAACCCAATTCTCTATGTGAAAAATTGTTGGGCAAAGATATGGTAGAATGTAGTGGTGCTAGAGGCCAAGGTATATTACTAATTGAACTAAAAAAATATTATGCGACTCTTGAGTTGAATGAAAATTCGTCTGAGCTAGCAAGAGTAATAAAAGCTAGAAATTATATGATGATACTATTTGGAAGCTTGTTAATTTCCCGAAAGTATAGGGAATAGTTTAATTTTCATGTATTTAAGTTTGCTTAGGAACTTTGAAAAAACAAGAAAGTATAGTTGGAGTTCTGCTGTTTTAACCTATCTATACAGTTCTTTGTGTAAAAATGCAACAAAGGAAAAATGTACTTTTTATGGATGCACTTTCTTACTCCAAGTCTGGGGTTAGTGGAGAATGGAGTCCCTAAGCCCCGTCAACAACAACATATTCATTTTCCCATACGCAACAAAGTAAGTCAAGAACTTAAATCATTTATTATTCATCCTTTAGCTAAATATATGTTTAAAATAAACTATTTTACAATTTCTTTAGGTACTGCGTGACGGGTATGGATTACGGCAAGAATCCAAGATTCAATGTCGCTCTATATCGTAATCTATTGGATCACCTTGGTCTGGATGATGTACGTGGTACCTTTGAACTTTTCTACTTTTAAATTATTTATATTTTACGTTTTCATTATGTTGATTTAATTTTATCCATAATTTATCTAGATACCATATTTAGGTTTGAACTATGAACCAAACCCCGAGGATGCAACAATTTGGACTGTAAAGACTGCAATCATACGGTTCAATATTGTGGAGATGCATCACAACGACCGTGTCAAGATGCAGTTTGAAATGCATTAAGAGATATCATGCGATCCAACTTGTTTATCACCCTGGCATCTCAAAAGGGTCGACGTCCAATGGAGTCTTACTAATTGAAAAGATTTTGTTCCAGAATGGTGAAAGATGTGGCATAGGCGTCACCAACATGTCTTGCAATTCCCTGTTTTCCTCAATCAGAATAATATGCGACACACAGATCAATATTTTGATTAGTACAAATCGGTTAGTAACCCATAAATGTATGTGTCTCATCCGAGGTATTTGGTTGACCCACAAACACAATGGGCACAAACCTCAAATCCCCAACAACAAACCCAACACACATCAACCTCCCACCAACCACCCCGACGATACAGATCCACAACCACCCAACCCCTATCACCACCTCAATACCAATACACCCATATGACCCACACCCAACCACAATCACCACCTCAATACCAATACACTCATATGCCCCACACCCAACCCCAATCACCACCTCAATACCAATACCCCCATATACCCCACACCCAACACCATTCTCAATCGAAATACTAATACACCCACATGTCCCACACACAATTCCAGTCTTCTCCATATCTCAATATGGGCCCATCATCATCTCACCTTAGCCCTGATCTGGGCTTTCCCAAAGAATATGACCCAACCGACCTAACTTACCATCAACCACCACATCACTATAACACCCAACAATCGCAATACCAAACACCCTAAGATTCATTTCCTTTTTACCCCCTTACTCAGACGACCAGTGCTATAGACCATCTATGGAACCCCACCCCCTACCAAGAAGACCAAAATTTGAGGGCATGGGTAACCGATTGTACCAAAGCGGATCTTCCAGATATGGTGATCTGACCAATTTCATGGATCTTGAACGCATTGACTTCGCTGGGCCATCGGCTCAATCGCAACAGAAAAATTGACGAAATCCACCACGAGATAAGCGAGGACGCGGATGTGGAACCACAGGTCATTATCGAGTTCCGAGGACCACTAATTAATATGTATTTTTTTTCATTATGTAATCAGTTTTTGTTAATGAAAAGTCGAAGTTTCGTGAAGCTATATTGTTTATCTATTGTCTCTAATTTAAAATAGAAATAAAAAAGTCCTTTAATTGCACCTAGGCGCCATTTGAGATGGTTTAGGACAAACATGTTGCACCTAGGCGCCATCTCACTTGGCGCCTCCCTCTTAAATTTAGGTGCATGTATCATCTCACTTGACGCCTCCATTATGGGACTTTTCTGAAACATGATTATTTGCGTAATTTTCCCCGAAACAAGATTATTTGTGTATTTTTTTCAATACTTGATTATTGTTAAAAAAAATTCTAATATGTAACATCATCTTATTATTAGGATTTTTAATGAAAGTTATGCAAAAATTATGACTTCGGCAGTCACCAAGCATAAAGATAAGTCTTAGATGCATAATTTATTTGATTTTAATGCCAAAAGTAAGGGTGTAATCAGATTGGTTTGGACTGATTCGTGGTAAAAAAAAGGTCCGAATTGATGAAATTTATATCGGTTTAGTTTGATTCGGTTTTTAATATTTTTCAAAAATAGAACCGAACTAAACTGACCGATTTGGTTAGGTTTGGTTTGGTTTGGTTTGGTTGATCGACTTATAATATTTTTTCAAACATTATATTCATCAGTGTATTCTCCAATATCGTATTTTTCAGTATATTTTATGCTATTATTTTTTAAAATAATATATTTCATACAATTTATTTCATGCTCTATTTTTTCAAACAAATTACAAGTTGCTCTTAATCCATATGAAACAGTGACATGATTTTCATTACATCATTAAATAAATTCACTATCATATATAAAAATTAACACTTGACATCAGAATGTTGGAAAAAAATTGAAAGCTTAGCAAATAAAACAGAACAAAACACACATCAAAACTATTTTGCAACAAGATTAGAATGAATTTTGTTGAAGAAGAAAAAACAAAAAGTAAAAGAAAATATGAAAATTAACTAAGAGAGTTGAATACGAAGAAGACAACCATAACATATAAGAATGACGGTAGTAAAAACAACAATAATCGCGGGCAGCAAAACAACAATTCAGTGTAAACAATTTTTTATTATTTATAGTTTCTACTTTTTATGTTTTAGAGTTTGATTCTAGATATATATTTTGCTGAAAGGAATGACGAGTAAAAAAAGATGGATAATAATTATGCCGTTAAAAAATTTGAACTTAATGATGGGTAGAATAAAAGATTTTGAGCGTAATTATTTTCATTGATTCGGTTCATCTATTCGGTAGTTTTTAAAAATTAAAATCGAAAATTGAACCAAATTACATCGGTTATCTGTTTTTATTGGTTCGATTTGATTTTAAAATCGAACTAAAAACAATCAATTTTATTTTGATTTAATTTGACTTTGTTTTGAATTATTAATTTAAAAATGAATTCTCTGATCCGATTACACCCCAGCCAAAAGCATACAATTTCTTGGTGTTTCTATAGAGTAGCATGTCCAACGAATTGAGAAAATTCTATAATTTAAATCACAATTCTGGTTCATTTAGGCAATCATAGGATTTTTTTCACATGATCAACAATTGTGTAACTTTTATTCAAAATATTGAGTCCATAAACTAAAATGCAATCGGATAAAAAATTTCTTTATTTTATTTCTCTGTCAATGAAATGACAAATGACAATAAACCCTTACCCTTTCACAAAATAAAATAACACAAACTATATATTAATTCCATATATCAACTTAAAAAAAAAAATATTAAAAATTAAAAAAAAATAAAACACAAAAACAGAATCCATATCATCTAGCAACAACTATTCCAATTCCTGAAAAACCGCTAAAAAAATTTCTCCAGATTTTTACATCAGTTTCAGTATTCGTTTGCCTCATAATCTGCAACATTAACAAAACGCGCTTTTTGAAAAAAGCTCCTTTGGTACACTGAGAAGGAACATGAGTGACCCTTCATCACAAGGTTGCAGCTTTATCCCTTCAAGATCGTGGGCTGTGACTAACTCTGCAGTTTGGTGTGGTTGGTGTTGGAATTCTAACAAGGGTTCATGTAGGGTTTCCTTTGGATCCTATCTTCCTTGAAGGGTCGGTTTGGTAACCTTTGATTGTGAAATTGTGCTGAATTTTCTTGACTTGATAGAACTTTTGTGGAGATTTTGTTGCTGTAGGTGTTGTTAAAGAAATGCTGAAAGGAAAGGTTGATTCTTTGTTACTTTCATTTTTACCAATTTTGTTTGAAGCCCTATTCAAATTACTCTGATTGCTTAAGAAAAATCGTTCCTTTTTATGAATTTATGAAGTTAGTAAGGTACCCTTTTGTGAGAAAGTTAAGTTTAACTAAATGGGTGATGAGAAAAATGTTGTTTTTGTTGTTTTTTTGATGGTGGTTGGTTGCTTATGAAATTTTCAATTCTATCTGTTTTTGTCACGTGGTATGATTTTGTGTTCCACGTTTTTGTCACTTTTGAAAGATGATAACAGCATAATTGACTTGATGAATTTTGCACGCATCTTCTTTTGACTTGTTAGATCTTAGGTGGCATTTTTTGTTAGGGTTGTTTATCTTCATCTCAATCTACCCTTGTACTTTTTTCTTCTTTGTACATCTTATGTGATGCACTTTGCAAACATTAGTTATGTGCATCCTACATGGTTGACTATTTCAAAAACATATTGTGAGTTGGTGAATTAGAAGGAACTGTGAATTTCAGAAGGTAAAATCAAGGTTTTGGTCTTGAAATGAAGATTGGTTTTTCTTAAGAAATTTGTTATGTTTAATGTTTAATGAACCTTTTGAAATGGTAAAACTTCTCTTTCATTTAGATGGTAACAATGACTCTTGTGATTCTCTAATACTGTTCTAGTGTTAGGTCCATAGTGTAAATTCCATCAAACTTGCATGCTTTGGGTTTTGTTTGTCATTTCCTAGGCTGACAGAGAGCGGAACCCGCTCAAGTGGCTAAACATCTAGAGGTGCACTGGATGGCCAGCTACTCTCCTCTTGTTTTGTACGGGTGGTAATGTCTACCTCCGGCTTGTTCTCTCCGGAGATTTGTTTGCATCGGAGTAGTCAGGATAGGGCTTGTTCTCCCCGGAGATTTGTTTGCATCGGAGTAGTCAGGATAGATCGGACTGATGGGCTGGTTGGCTTGTGTTTCTTTTCTTGGTGTTTGATTGTTTTTGCTTTTTGGCCTGAGAGTTAGCCAGGCTTTTTGCTCTTGCGCACTTCTAGTGCTCTTTGTTTCCTTTTGTTTTTGTTGTATCTCTTGATTTTTTCTCTCTTTAGTATAAATTAACGTCCTTTTCTACTATAGGAAAGAAGTTATTTACTGTTTAAGTTCTATACTCTTTCCGTTCTATATTATAAACAAATTTCACTTTTTAGATTCCTTAAATAATTGATGTATCTAGACTATATATAGACCGGATACATTAATTATTTAACGAATCTATAAAGTGAAATTTGCTTATAATATGGGACGGAGGGAGTATATTGTGAATAGTTGCTTTCCATTTAGAGTTTTAGCTTGATTTTATTACATTGCGACAATCAAATTTAGGCTTGCTTGATTTTACTTTGTGAAAATGATTTTTATTTCCTCACTACAGAAATCAATGGAGATGGATTTCTTCTCAGAATATGGTGATGCCAACCGGTATAAAATTCAAGAAGTAATTGGCAAAGGTAGTTACGGTGTTGTTTGTTCAGCCGTTGACACTCACACGGGTGAAAAGGTTGCAATAAAAAAGGTTCATGGTATCTTTGAGCATATATCTGATGCTGCGCGTATTCTTCGTGAGATAAAGCTTCTCAGACTTCTTCGACATCCCGATATTGTTGAAATTAAGCACATTATGTTGCCTCCTTCAAGCAGGGATTTCAAAGATATTTATGTTGTTTTTGAACTCTTGGAGTCTGATCTGCATCAAGTCATTAGAGCCAATGCCGACTTAACGAAAGAGCACTATCAGTTTTTTCTTTACCAATTACTTCGAGCTTTGAAGTATATTCACACCGGTATTTCTTCAATATCTAATTACCACTCATTCACAATTATTTTATTTTGTTTACCAGCTCGAGTTTTCTTGCATTGATGTCAACGTCGTTCATATAATATACTTAATACAGCAAATGTGTATCATCGAGACTTGAAGCCGAAGAATATACTGGCCAATGCAAAACTGTAAACTTAAAATCTGTGATTTTGGGTTAGCTAGAGTTGCTTTCAGTGACACTCCAACAACTGTATTTTGGACGGTATTCTATTCATATAATATCATCCTATCTTTTTCTCGAGTTGTGTGCGTGAATCATAGCCAAAGCCTTCGTAATCTAGGGGCTGATGTTTTCTTGCTTATCGGATATGCTTTTATAGGATTATGTTGCGACAAGATGGTATCGAGCACCAGAGCTCTGTGGATCATTTTACTCAAAGGTACGGCTTTTTCAATATCCTTTCAAAAATCGTTAGCTTCATGCGTAGAAATTGCATATCGATCCACAATATGTGTTCTTTGATCTTCTTTCCCATCAATACGCATGACCTGAGTTGCTGATTGATACACTGCTAGTTATATTTATTTCTGTTGAATTTCTTTGCTGATGAGCTAACACTAAGTTTTTTTTTTTGTAGTATACTCCGGCAATTGATATTTGGAGTATCGGATGCATCTTTGCCGAAGTATTAATAGGAAAACCCCTTTTTCCTGGAAAAAGTGTTGTCCATCAGTTGGATCTAATCACGGATTTGCTTGGGACCCCCTCACTCGATGCTATATCTCGGGTAATTTTGTTTTCCTCTATAGAGAAAGTTAACTGTTTTGCTTATGCTTTTATTGTGTGTTAATCTTTGAATTGTATACAGGTACGCAATGATAAAGCAAGGAGATACCTAACTAGTATGAGGAAAAAGCAGCCTGTACCATTTGCGCAAAAATTTCCTAATGCGGATCCTTTATCACTACGACTACTCGAAAGGTTGCTCGCCTTTGATCCAAAAGACCGGCCTACTGCTGAAGAGGTTTGTTATTTGCACTCTTTCATGAAGTATTATAGAAACCGTTGTTTTATAATTAAATGCTCAGTGTTGTCAAATAGCGGCTATAGCGTAGCGTCATTTTAACAAGCTACTATTGTTCTGCGATACGCAATTTAGTACAAAGTGTTGTCAGATATTGTCTATTGTAGCGTTATAGCACTACAACATAGCAAAATTTGAACAAACCGCTATTTCTGCGACTTGTAAGTGACAACACTGTTTTAGCTTATGCTTTTACTTTGGTGATGTCAGGCATTAGCTCATCCTTACTTTGAGGGACTGGCAAAAATTGAAAGGGAACCATCCTGCCAGCCAATTACACAAATAGAGTTTGAATTTGAAAAGAGAAGAGTATCAAAGGGAGAGATTCGAGATTTAATTTTCCTTGAGATCCTCGAGTACCACCCTCAACTAAATGGAAGAGAGAAGACTAATTTTCTTTATCCAAGGTTTTTGTTTGTTTTTTCTCTCAAATTATTTTTTATTCGTATGTTCTACCGTCTTACTCTCTTTACTTTTCATCGATCATATTCTTTACAGTGCTGTTGATCAATTCAAAAATCAGTTCACTCATCTCGAGGAAACTGGTGGTAAAAGTGATCCAGTTGTGCCACTTGAAAGAAAACATGCATCACTTCCCAGGTAAATTATTAATGCAGTGAATCTCATTGGATTTCACTTGTCATCTGCATGCTCTCTCAATGTTTCACATGGCCTGAGATGAAATCAACCAAACAAAATATGGTTGCATTTGTTTCCATGCATGTTACAACTGTGTTCAATTCACAAGGGTCATAATTAGATTATATTTTAAGATTCTTCTGATTGTTTTTTCTTGAGTTATTGACAGGTCCACGACTGTACATTCAAATGAGCATTCAAATATTGCTTCCAGCAGAGACCGGCAAACAACTGAGGAATATAACACTAGTTATTCGGAATCCAGCAACATTCAGGGACTGAAAATAATTCCACTGGGTATATGATCATAATCTTGATCGCAATGTCTTTGATTTTTGTGCATTATCATCAATAATTAGTACTTTTAACACCACTCTCTTCAGAAACTCCTGGTAAAGCTGTTAGACCGCTTGTTCGGTACGGGCACGAGAGTATTGTCAATGATTCATATGATTCTAGGACGTCAATGAGAGGTTCTGTTCCTCCCTCTCAATCTATCCCTCTCATTTAACACCGACACTTATGATTGAATGCGCGTTTTGTGTTTGACACGAGACACGACACAAATGCATGTGATTATATTCAATTAATTGACAGATGTGTCTTTACACATTTTTACAGGCAAACCATATCCAGCATTGTTGAATCAAAACCGAAATAGCATCAGATTTAACCATAAGTATTGATACCAACACAACAAAGAAAGAGCGAACGAAGATAGAACAAGGTGATTGAATAGCCATTGACATCATCGACACAAACTTGATGCTCAGATTGAAAAGATGGACCTGTTCATGACAAGGATGTTCCAGAAGTTTTTCTTGTGAATAGTTTGGCCAAATAAACAAGTTCCTATGCAGGAAAAAAAAAACAAATACTCTTTGATAATGGAGAAGGTGTAGTCTCTACCTCTGGTGGTAGTTTGTGTAAAAACTGACATAGATTAGTGCTTCACCTTAGCGAGCCAGCTTTTTCTTTTCATAATACTGTAGAACTTTGGTTACAGCTATCAATAAATTATAGTTCTAAGTTCAATTCACAACCAAGGTGTGTGACAGTTCAATTCACAACCAAGGTGTGTGACAGTCGGTCACATCTGGATTCTCCGATCAAGATTGGCTGGTTTCATGTTTCAATGTTGTGATTTGATTTTTTTATTTTTTAAATATAAAATACAAGTTGAAATTTAATCTAGACAAGATTGATCGCATGCGGTCACAAGATTTATGTTTGAATTGTCCGATCAAGATCAAGATTGATAGGTTCATATTTCAATGTCGTGATTTAATTTATTTATTTTATACCTAAAATATAATTTGAAGAATTGTCCGATCAAGATCAAGATTGACAGGTTTATATTTCAATGTCGTGATTTAATTTATTTATTTTATACCTAAAATATAATTTGAAATTTGATCCAATGGTCTAGACGTGGTTGACCCGTAAACAGTCACAAGATTCACAACCTAGATCCGATCTCTCTCTGATTTTTGACATTTATTTTGTAAAACACACTTCTCATTTTAATGGAACTGAATTCATCACTAAGAAAATTATTTTGCAAAAAGACATTAGTCCTACCATGTTATAAGATAGGATATTATGCTTTGTATACCTAACCTGACCTAGTAGTGGAGCTCACATAATAATACAAAAGCTACGTATCTTAAAATCCAACATGATGCTTGCCTAAGCTCTAACATGTCTTGTTTTCTAAAAACATTAATGTTAAAATATTAGTTGTTCGGTTTTAATGTTCCAATTTTCAGTATTTTCAACCTGATATTCTAGTGTTCAATAGTAATTAATCTAGAAATAGAAAGCAATCAAATAATAAATTACGTTACTACTCTTTTAACTGAAATTCATTAACCACTTGATTAATGTTTGAAATTTGAGAGACATATGAGATTGGGATATAATGCATTAGAATAAGGTTGTTTGTTGATATATTTGGCATTTACTGCATATGCAAGCACCATAGCTGCAAACTGCAGACAGGAGGGGCTCACAGATTAAAGTCTTTGGTCAGTTCATGTGCTGATCATTAAGTTAAAACAGTTTGAGAAGAAAAAAAAAACTTTCTTCCATATCTATCTACACAGACAAATATGAATATTCTTCACCTGCTACTTCCATACTCTTTTGTTTTCAAACTTTCTTTATTTCATTACATGCAATTACAAATACCCCCCTTTTCTCATAGTGTGACATGACAACATAGTCAATCATAAATCACTACTAATTCAATGTTGGGTTGTCATCAATTACTTTGTGATTAAGCAAGTTATATGTATTATTAATCATACCTTTAAAAAGTGTTACCAGTTTTGTTTTTTATCTATTCTCTTATTAGGCCTACCATGTGAGATTTTCATATGTTTTGTATGATATCTTCATACGTGGAAACAAAAGCAAGAAAATGCGAAGATGTATTATACGATGAACACATTTTCAAATCTCATACTTTCACCAGGGTTCAAACATGCATATACATGTATTTGATGTTTCTACATAATTATTAAATTAATAAGTTGATCTAATATTTTTACCGGAATTAAAAAAAATGTATTAAAAATTAAAATAAATTATTTATTTTGAGACGATATATTTTTTTAAAATGAGTCAATGATTGTATAACGTGTGAGAGTACAAGAAAGAAATGGTGTACGGATTCCGAGAAAATGAAGGGTGATTAATAAAATGAAAAGTGAGAGTGTATATTGAATGTAGTGTGTGAATGTGACAAAAAGAAAGGGATAGGAGTGGGACTGAGCACATGGAGTCCCATATGCCCAACACAAGAAAATCTCTATACACAATCCCAATGACCCAATAAGCCTATTGGTTTCCTTCTTGGAAACAACACCATCTCCATCTCTGATTATCCACCACATCCTATAAGGGCCACCATCACTAAATGCTGTGACCTCCAACATCTACCGGACTATTTACCATCACAAACTTTCTTCACGGTTGTGGTCGAGAAAATTCTCAATCCGATTTAAAGTCTGTTTATATTTTTAAAAACACTAAGTATATATTTAGGCTTTCTATTTTTACATCTTCTAAGTTTTAATCCTTTCATTTTAAAAATTAAAATTTTAATCTTTAAATTTTATTTTATTTAAGATTTTATTGATCCTTATCTATTTTTATATATGTAGTACTTTTATTAGTGACATGATACTAATATAATAATTTCACATTAAAACATACATCGTAAGGATTTATTGTAGTAATGTCATGTTATTAATAAGGACGTCACATAGTCAAAATCAGAATATTATTATACAGATATATCTCTAAAATAATTATTTAAATCAATTTTTTTTAAAGAATATAAATTTTTTTAAACAAAAACATACAACATTATAAAAATATTCAAAACAAATCGAAATAAACAAACCCTAAATATAATGAATTTGTATATGAATATGAATCAATTATTCATATTTTTTTATGTACATTTCAAATTTGACCAAGGTTCATCTTTTGTTGCTAATTTTATTTTTACTTTGAAGCAAAGATTAAATTTTCAAGAATATCACTAATCAGATTCACATAACTCGAATGAAGAATGTATAATTATTAATATAATTTTTGCTGAAACATGTGGATTTGGAGGAATAAATCAGTATTTTGCAAGTCTTTTGTGAATCAAATGAACCATACCTATAATATTATCCAAAGGCTCAAAGATCATGAATGTAATTCACGTATTTAACGATTTGTCGATGCAACACAATGTTAATTGATTAGAAGACAATCCAAAAAAAGATAGGTAAAGGTTAACGGTGGTGGTTGGGGGATATATATATATATATATATATATATATATATATATTAATATATAT